CTGATTGGCATCCAACTCTATCTTTTAAAAATTTCTGCCTCTCTGTACAATCATTTCTTCTTACTAAGGTAACTCATCCCACCCATGGTGTCAGTTCTCTTAACTTTATACCATGAAATAATTCAAGAAGGGAATAGAAAAAAAAAAAAAAAAAAACCAGAAAAAAAAATCTGAAACAAACCAGACCTTTCACGTTCTATTTACAATCACATCCACTCTTTTAATCATTCCAGACAGAGAATGCACTAAACGAGACAGCACAAACCAGAAAAACACTGGGGACTTCTCAGTCAGTCAATTATTTATCTATGTGGTCCCATGTGTTTTCTACAGGCAAAGTCACTGAAAAACTACAAAAATCTCAGACATTCAAATATCAGTGAAATAGGACACTTTTTCACATCACACAATAGTTTGATGTTTTTACGAGAAGTGAATTACTCTAAAGTCATATACAGAATGAAAACCATTATTGGGAGAAACAAACAACATTCTGGAATGTATCAATAACAGCTTCATAAACAGCTAACTATATATGGACTCTAATAAAAGCACTAGGACTCAAACCCTCCAGGTTTTCAGGCACAAACTCAATTTTCCAGCTTATTCTTGTCCCTCTAAAGCTAATAAAATGAACAATTTCTGGAGGTAATTTTTCAACTCCCAAATTATATGCAGAAAATTTTTACATAGGAAAAGGCCTCTGCAAAAGCTGTAAACCATTCAGAGATGCATATGAGATACAAAAATCTATCAACGACCTTTTGACAAAGCTTTTCCCTTTAGAGCAGAGTGCTAGGCAAAGTGCAATTTTCCTCCCACTGTACCTTCACATATATTTTCTGAGATCAAGTTATGGTCAAATTGCCACATAACCACATTTTCAATTTTCTTCATACATTTTTACAACACTCTCACTTCAGCAGTATTTACTATTATCACTTCCAGCAGCTAAGGCTGTTTGCATAAGGTGTTATTTGCCAAGAACCTGCTATTTGAAAGGAAGACCTCTTCTGTACAGCAGATTTGTAGGTGGAGAAAAGTAGCCTTATTGATGGAAAAGTGGAGGGAACCAACATAATCACATGCACATGATCCATACAGGACAGAGCAAAAAATGCATGAGATAGCCTTCTCTAATTGAACTCAAACACATCTATAAGATACCTCTTTCATGCAGTTTCAATTAATTTGCTGTAGAATTTTCATAAAGCTCCCTCACGGGCTAAAAGCTTAACTGCAGACAGACTTAGCCAGAACTTGTGTTATCACACATAACGCACACCTAAGTGTTTGTAGCCCTGTTTCATTCACTGCTGAAGGAGTAAGATACAAATCACTACAACACTTAAAGGCTACCCTCAGGAAGATAGAGGAATACAGCTCTAAGGACAAATGACAAGAACTACTATAAGAAGCATATCTGGATACACTTAACCCTATTTTAACTTCACAATGCCTTAAAAGTTACTCAATGTTCTCAAGCAAAGGAGCCTAATATACAGAGAATATCCAGAGCACAGCTGTTAAGAATTCCTTGCCAAAATAAAGGTATATGGAGAGAGGTTCCACATGACATATTCAGAGATTGTTCCTATCCCATATGCCAGTCGCTCTACCAGAGCCTGGAAGAAGAAAGATGCTTCTTCCTTCCACAGACAATATGGAGATTGGAAGGGCCATCAGCAGGACACATGTTGGGAACAAAAATGGCCACGAAGAAGGAAAAAAATTCTGAACAAAATTAGGATGGAATTTGATAAAGGACATCTGCAAAAAAAAACAGAGGAAGGCTGCTTATTAGACTGTAATCTACCTGGAAAGGAGCTGATAGCCAACACACCAACAAATTTGACATGAAATCAGCGTATTGTTGACGCCACACAACAGGTAATTACCTTCACAGCAACACTCAGCCTAACTCAGACCACAGCTTTGTTAGAAAAGGATCAGCCACCCCTAAACAGCAATAACTCCAAATGGGTAATTACCAGTCAGCAGCCAGTAATGAACCATGGACATTTATCCTACTTGAATGTTTGTTTCCTTTGCATTGTTAACATTTAGAGCAATACTGAATGTAAGGTACAGTGATAGATGTGCCAGTGATTTACTGGAGCAAAGAGAGGTCTGTTGCTCAATGAAGCAGTGTTGTTCACAGGACATAATTCCTAGTTTAAGGGGAAAAACACTTCTGTATCCAAGGAAGAGCATTAAGCATTAAGTTAATTACGATGAATTGCAAAACTGAGCTCTGAATAAAGGAGGGATAAAATGAGTTTTCGAGTGAGACAATAAATTTCTTCTGACACCCTGAAAGTCTTGAAATGAAGATCACACTCAAAAGCTTCTACATTCCCCTCAAGAAAAATATTCAAGTGTATCCCCAGGAAAGGGTGTGTGAATGTGAATTATTAGGCAATATGGTCAGACTTTAGCAGCAGCATTTGCCAAGGCAGAATTTCAGAGCCCAAGACCTCGACTGCTACAATGGAACTGTGTATTTATCTCACAGTTATGCTTGTGTACATGAACTAAGTACATATTTTGTTTATTTTCTTTACCCATCTTTTACAAATATGTGATTATGTTGCTATATTTAGATATTAAAGCAATACTTCTAGTTAACCTCAATCTCTTTTAACCTATGGCCCAGCTAACCAGCACAGACTCTGCAGTGTCCACAAGCAAGAAAGGTGCTTCCCCTCCCATCACTCAGCTCAGATTCTGGCCCTGCCAGAATTGGACAGAACCCAAATGTACCCAGGGACTCACAGCAACTGAAGAGGCCTTCTAACCTAAAACAGGATGCCAGAGTGCACACTTATCCCATGCAGCTACTGAGGTGTGCCGGGGTCTAGGTCACATGCAGACCTCCTGTTGATCCCCTTCTACTCTGGAGGTGTCCTTGCTTATTCCCCTCTCATGGGAAGCAGGCCCTGGGCCCTGAAACCTTTCCATTATTCCAAAGGCAGGTGTATGTGCAGAAGACAGCAAGGTGCTATAATTTTTATCAGAACGTGGGCATCTGAAAGTTTGGAACTCGCACTAAACAAGAAATCAGACACTTCAAGAATTCTTGAAATAAAATTTGAGTTCCAAATGCCAACACATCACATTAAATAAGTCATACTGGTTTTGGTATTTTTGCTTATGCTGTGTTTACATTCCTGTTCAATATAGACAGATTTCAGTCTGATTGCACAGATTCAGGTGGTACTTGAGGCCAGCTGATAAATGAGTTAGTGGAAACAGATTGAAGTGCTAATGTCCTTTTTACTGTTCTTTCCTAGAAATATAAAAATGGAAAAACAATACTAAACCAACAGTTTAACTTCTGAAGCTTAAAAAAATAATCTTCCATTATTTCTCTTCAGTTATTTCACTTGTCCAGGAGCTGGATAGAGAAAATACCAATTACTGTCAGAGAAGAATTAAAACCTCAGTTGTTCCTTATGCTCACTGCAAAATCCTAAAGATAAATACAAAGTAGTGGAGTGGGGAAAAAAAAGCTGAAAAAAGGTGATTTCTAACAAGTCTGTCAGTGGAGATAGAAAGAACTGAACATAACCTCACACAAAAATATTGCTGCTGAGAACTCCATTCAAGAAAAGCATTTGTCAATGCTAGAAAAAAGACTAAGTACAGGACTTTTATCTCAATAACATGTCAGAGTAAATGAACGTGTGTTAAGATAATTAAGTTCTCAGTGATAAGGAAATGAAATTTGAAAAGCAAAACTCTAAGTTACACTTCTGTAAGACTTCAGAGTAGTAAGTGAAATATCTTTCATTTCAGAAAGATTCTTGCAAAATATCTCCCATTCTCAGAATAAGCAGTTTAAATGATAATACTTCAGGATGTATTTTGAATACCTAAATAACATTTAGATTTTCCAAAGCCATCTTCTGAAGCTATTACATTAATAAAGGTATTTTTTTCTCTTACATGACTAACATTAACCATGTAGAATGACCTTTTCTCTAAATATTAAAATTTTGCATCCTCTCCATTCATCACAGTTTATTTCTGCTATTCAATATTGCATCTGCTTGAAATATAAAAAGAATACACTTGGCAACATTCAGGATAAACATAATATAATGAATCACACATGCTTGTAAGGTGTATGTTATGTTTCTCCTACAAAAATATTAAATTCATATACACATTTGCTTGCCTTTGTGAGAAAACATCTCTGTTGTAGTTTTATGAGGTTTTGGGCTATAAATTATTTGTGTATTGACTGAGTCTGGATTGAATGTCTTCCTCCATAGTAATTTAAATCTTTCACCTAGTTTCCCAAGTTTAAACAAAAAACAACAACAAACCACCATTTAAGTGTGACTTACACAAAATCAATGCTTTCTTTTCTGTCACTGCACAAAGAAAGCAGTAGATTATGTTTAAATCATACTTCATCACCTGCAAACATTGGAGCCACTGCTTAATCAGCATGCTCTTATCTTTGCTCTCCAACAGATAAAGGCTCTAACATGTTAGGCAGTGTATGTTTTTCATAATGTGGTACTCAAAGCTTGCTGAAATCAAATGTTTCCTTTAGGAGAGCTCCAGTACACTCAGACATATCAAAGAAAAACATGTTTATGACACTGTACTTGACTACCTTTGTTACATCTTCTCTTTTCCCTTGTCTCAGAACCCTGCTTCTTTTTGAAATAACTTCATCACTGGGCTGAAAGCAAATTAAATTTAAACACTAATACCTAAGTTACTGAGTGTGCCCTTACAAACAACAAAACTCTTCAGTCTATATTTTAATATTACAGTGCAAAAATCTAACAACCAGATTTTCTCTCTGGCTGTAATAGAAAGCAAACACTACTTATCTGGCATTTTGCTTAAAAAAAAATTTAAGAAATAGGCAAATTCAAGGCAGTTTATATGTGAGATTAAGACTGTCCAAAGAACATGAAAGAAACACTAATGCAAAGCAAATAAATAGCAGAATCTGAGTTTAAAGAAAAGGTTGTACTTACTCCTTATTTCTGCCTTGAATGCATGGCTGATAAAGGACTTTGAGAGCATTCCAGGTTCCCACTGGTCCAGAGCTAGGTGTAAGGATATCTCCAAACAGTGTAAAATCAATGTGGGAGGAGGAACTTCCTAAAGACTCTACCAGCAAGGTGTCAGAATTTAAAAGCCAGATCTATAAATGAAAAATAATTTAGTTTACTGTACATTACATACACTTCAATTTGTTATTTTACTGTGACCCTAAAGCAGCTGATACTGAAGCCACATTCTTACAAAGTTTCTAACAAAGCATTAACAGACATAAATTGATAGTTTATTATTTAGCAGAGTCTGCACAGCTTCTAGTGGAGAAAATAGGGTAATACCATACTGATTTATCAGCTGCCTCTTTTTGTGACTGTAGCACATTCCCTTTGGTAGGAACACAAGAAATAGTCCCAAGTAATCTCTTTCAGTACCACATGTATTATTTATCCAATTTCATAATTTTTTAGGTATTAGTGAAGCATATGGTGTTGAGCAACTGAGGGCTAAAGACAGGGAACTGAAAGACTGCCCACTGAAGTGCCAAAAATTGAGGATTTTTAGAAGAAGCATGGTGGTTATGATTATGTGGACCTAATACATGCAAGGAAAAAGAAAAATTAACATGGTCTAAAAGGCATGTTGGAATTTACAACCACTTGCAGCAGACCCTCACTTGGAAAATAAATATCAAATTTCATAATGGGACTTATATTCTTCAACCCTATTTGCTCACAGCAATTAGAGAGCTATTTACTGGGAAGAGTTGGGAGAAATCTGAACTTTTTGCATCCCATTATGGATCTTATTTAATCTTTGTGTGATTTGGTATCAGTGTTCAGACTTGGATCCAGGGCTTTCCTGCTAAACACCATACAAATAAGTCAGGTTTTCCTTAATTCACAGCCTGCAGTAGTCAAGTGATCCAGGTTAGCAATGGAAATCAATTTTTACAAATCTGGCACCTGTATGAAATGTTTATATATGAAATATTTATCATTGAAAATGGGATTTATACAGTGGTGCTCACTGGAGAGCAATCTTCTGCTTCTCATGATCTAATCAGCTTCAAGTAAAACAAGTTACATGATGTTATATAGCAGACACATGATATCCCCAGTGGAGGGGGAAAGCAGTCATTAACAGGACACATAGTATATGTTGTAATTGAATGCGACAGTCACAATTTATAAGAGCCCAAGGCTCAGAACATTACAGCAGAAGCTTCATAAAGAAGGAATGAGATATATTGATAAAGATATCTTGGGAGGGGATAGGAGGAGGAGAATCACTTTAGCATATGCACATGAATGATGACAAGCAACTGCACTTGGCTTTGCAAGTGGTTGTTCATCAGTTTTGCTCTAGTAACTCATTGTACACATTTATAGCCTAAACTGCAAAATATACCTCATTAGCTAGGACCATTACACAAGGTGCTTAAAGCCAAGTGCTGAAGAGGTGTTGGAAGAAAATGGTGCAGAAACACAGGACACTGCCAACACAAACTGAACAGAGTTTCTTCCTTTTGAAATTTCTAACAATTCTGTGCGGAAGGAGCTTCCTGGGATGCTTTTCAGCAGGGGAATATCTTTCAAACTAGAAAAGGGAACAATGTAGCAATAGCTGTCTGCTCCTTTCAGAATCCTTCTGCAATCTGCTGCAGAGAAAGCAACCAAAGCATTTCATTTGCAACACAGTCCATTTGAAAAGCACCTCTTTCTACACAAGTGACACATGTGGCATTTCACAATCGTGTTCTGGAACTTGTATGAATGTCTTTGTTTCACCAGCAACACAACAGATCTGTATTAATAATTTAACACACAATATAGAGAAAGTAAATGAATCTCTGGGCGTGGAAGGATTCCCAGCCATGAGCAAAATCAACTTCTGAATTACACTTCTTTAGGAAGCATTTCCATTCTTTTCTTCACGTATGGATTATTTTTTGATCTTGTTTTCAATCTGAGTGAACAATTGCTCACCCAGACTCAGTGTGTTGACTCTAAGAATTTTATACATGTATTTCTGGCTAAGAGTTTCATATTTTGAGCTCTGCTTTCAACCATGTTATTCACAATGTGCAATCTTTCCTTTCTTTGTACTTCTTTGTACAGCAGAGCTGGCCCAAGCAAATTCCTTCCACATGTACTCCAGTAAGAAAAGAAACTTTACAGAAAAATATATACATAAAGCATAGAATTCATTCACGGTGTCATTGATTACCTTTTCTGAAATGACAGAATGAGAAAAAAAGTGTTTGGGGGCTTGTTGATCTTCCTTTCATTGTTTTCTTTTGGTTTCAAATCATTTTGTCAAGAGACTTAAAAAGACATTCTTCTGGGAAAAGTGGCAACAAATCTACCCCAGTTATACTTCATGGGACTTGAACCAAACAGGTGAAATACCACAATTTAGACTCTGTGATCAGTTTCCCTGTGTCTCAGTCTGAGTTTTCAGCATCAATTTGTGGACAACTAAGCATCAATTTGAATTTAATATCGGTAAAAAACCCGCTAAATCTTTTATTTTAACTTGCTAGCTCTTTCTTAGCTGTTGCAGACATTACCATTACTTTCATCATCACACAGGTCACTAATGCAAACATCTTTCATTACAGCTATTTCATTCTCACACTCAGAGTGCTCAGGTAAAGATATCGTTTCCATGTATTTCACAAAGAAAAAAGCTCTCTGAGAGAGCTGGGCAGTTAAGTCTCAGCAAGGTTCTCATTATCTCACTGCTTGACCACTGCAATGTCCACCCCACCTCCAATCTCAACAAATGCAAATTGATTCTGCTCATGCCCTTCAAGACAGGGACAATAACCAGACTGACACGTTTCTCCTATTTTGTTATGTATTAATTTTTTTAGGATGTCGTCCCACTCCTCTCGGCTCACTCCTGAAATACAAGCTGCCTTATTTTCAAAACACTTTACAGTCTAATCCCACTTCAAAAAAACCCTTTCCTTCAATAGTGAAAGACTGGAGATAGTGTTCAAAGAGTCCAATCCACTGCACACTTTTTGACTTTCACAGATGTAATCTTTATGGGTCTTATGAGGTTGATCCCATCCATGAGATGAATTCCCTGTATCTATCCATTACTGCTTTCAAAGCTACACTTTTTTACAGTACAGGAAAAAGTAGGTATTGAGATGCTGTTATGCTGACCAATAATGTACCATTTTGCTTGTGTTCTTATCTCACTATCTTCTGTCCTCCTCTTATTCTCAGCTTCTAAGTCATGCAGCTACAAGACAGGGAACCCTTCAACAGTGGAGCAAAGAGAGGAGGCAAGTGATTCATAAATGTGAAGAGGGCAGAAATACAGTTAGGAGAAATAAGGATATCTGTATGTACCACTTTTACCCCCGAAACAAAGAAACTTTTTTTAACTGGCATCCTTTAAAAATAAATTTTAAAAAGCCCACCAATCTAAGTAGTATATAGCTTTAACAACAGAATACGTGTAACTTAAAAAATAAAAACTCATATTATGGTATGTGCAAACAACATAATTGGTAATGTTAAGTGATACATCCAGAGGCAATGAGGAAAATAAGTATACATATTATTTGTAGTTTAAAAAAATTTAAAAGACTTGTGAGAAACCTTAACCTTAATTATCACATACACAGTTTAAGCTGCGTACATGATACATGTATTCATGTAGGTAAGCACAAACACTGTGAACTAGAATCTTTGGCTCATTATCAAAACAAACAGCTGGTTCATGAAGCATCAGTGATGAGACTACCTGTGTAACTTGGCTGTGTGTTCACAGCCTCAAGCACCCACATTTTAGTGTTTAGCTATTGACAGTCATTAATATAAACAGAGCTAACATTATACTTGTGTCCACAAGGCCTCTGAGGCCTAAGACAACCCATGACTCCAGAACAGCAGTTGGTGTGTATACAGTAGCCAGAACCTCACCCTGGACAGGAGTAAGGACTTCCTGATGTCAAATACTTAAAAACACCTGCAAAAAACTAACAACTAACCAATATAAAGGAAAATATGCCAATCAGAAGCCAGTCCCTATCTAATTCAGCCTACTCCTCTAATTAATACATTGGCAAAAGTGCAGCTCGGAGCTAAGAGTAATGCTAATCTACCAAATAAAGTGATTTTTCTGTTAAAAAATAACAAGTTTGCTGTATCTAAACTACTAAACTTAAGCACCAGAACTTTACATAACTTGGGAACAGATAAGCTACAAGGGAAAAATCACAATGATTTTGGATGACTCCTCAATTATAATATATATAATTATGGATCTGCTTATGAAACCTTCATTTTATCATCACAGAACAGATATTTCTCAGTGATTGTATAAATGTTGCCTTGGCACTAAAATTTATTTAAAGGCAAATAAAAAAATATTCCCTTAGCATCTGGATGTTCCAAAATCACAGAACTTGGACAATGCATATATAAAAGAGTTTATATAATTACATTGCCTCAAAGTGCATTTATAAGTTTATCCAGGGCAGGAATCTCTACTCATGTATTTCTTTGTGTCTATGAATTATTTCTATAAACTGCAAAAATACAAACTCTATACCCATATCTAGTTTCGACATAAAAGGAAACATCTCTGGTTATAACAAGTGTACAGTATTAAGTTAACTCTTATCCATCTTAACAGTTTGAGGAATCTAGCTGTCACCACCTAAATATCAAGCTTAACCAAGTTTAACAGCATCAGAACATTAAGTATAATAGGCAATTTTATTTTTGTTTTCACTTCACTTCGCAATGCAATGTACTGACTACACTAATAGTCTGCTGACTTGAGACAATGCTTGTGAAAATTTGATTCACTTCTGGTGATTAAAGAGAAGAAGTGCTGGAGCAAGAAGGTGAAATATACATTAAAAAATTAAAACTTAAGCTTTCCATATTTTCTGCACACACAATAGTGTTATTTCTGCACAACTTATGGTGCATCTGCAGTACTTTCATTACTATATCAATAAAATTTCTACATGCACATCTAATTAGAGTAAAAACTTGTGGATATTCTTACTTGAACAGATGTACCTCAGAACCACTTCAAGGACATGAATTTGTTAATTTTTTCAAACATACATAATGAACACCAAAAAAATAATGAACACCATAAAAAATACATTTTAGGAACTGGGATACATGGGTTAATCTTCAGCACGATGAAGACTTAAAAACTTACCAGAATATAGGTTTTTCCATTATCTCCTTTTATGGTGAATCTAAATGTGCTTTTAGCAGAGGATAATTCCAAAAGACACTGAGCAACAATGCTTTGTACAAATTGAGACCTGTTTCAGAATTAATCACATTCTCATATATTTTCATAGCAACAACACAGACAGTCATTCATATCTATGCACTACAGGTAAATGAGTAACTCAAACTTCTTTTCCACTATATCCTACAAACACATTTTACTGAAAGAAGGGGCTTCTTTATCTTCCTCTCACTCACAATCAGAGAATTTTTTCTTTCCTGCAACAGGAATTTTTTAATACAACAGGATTCTAAATTGCTTGATACCCTTTATTTTGGCTGACAACAACTGTCAAATGCTGAATAGAAGCTTTTCCTCATTATATTTTACACATATGAAGACAAAGTTCAGAATTATGCATATGTTTCAAATAGAATTCCCAAAAAGAAAGAACTGTGATTAAGCCATTGTACATGATACCAGGTAGCTAGATCAAGTTCTGTTTCATCTTAGTCTTAAATTCAAACTGAATTACTTGAAAATTCAAAGCTCTCACTTTGAATTAAACATTTCAAACTTTACTTAATTTAACTGTACATGAAATAGGCTTCTGTTTCCATCATTAGTCACCAGACATTGTGCAAAATTAATTCAAAATAAAACAGTATTTTATTTTGGCTTATCACCTCAATAGTGAGACACTGACAAATTAAACAATCTCCTGCATCACACACAAAGATGAGCAAATAAAACTGCACGAGTGAATTCAGGCTACTTTGCCTTTACAATGCTTAATTTTGTGATTATATAAAATTGCACTCTGTTTTTATATGCAATTATTCAAGAAACTACAACATTAGAGCATTTCTAGCATCCTTTCTAAAACATATACTTGAGCAAATTATGCGATTATTTTGTTACCTTGGTGTTGGACTGAAACTTCTTTCAGCTGATTGAATAACCACCTCAGTGACATAATATTTAATGGTACCTAAAATGAAAAAAAACATTTTTCAACTATAACAGAATAATCAACTTATTCAGATTAGACTGTAAGTCACCATATCACTACACTAATCAAATATTTGTTCAGTAGTCAATTAAGAGGTGCAGCAGGCAATCATATTTTGCTTGGGTTTGTAGGAGTAGAAGCAACCATAACAAAAAACCTACACTGCCTGAAGAAAACTGCTCCAAGCTAATTACAAGATCAGCAATTTCTCATTCATATTGATCTTTGTTTAATGCTGGGAACAATCATCTTAAGAGCTCAAGCCAAACCTGAAAGATGAATTGAAAGAACTTTCCTAAAGCACTGAGATCAGCATAGCTTACATAAGTATTTTAGTACCCTCTGCTGCTTAGTAATGCTGCAGTGAATCACTAGAGACAGTTTTAATAACAGCTCACATGGGGGAATAATTTCCTTCTTTGCTCAAAGAGCAGAATGGAACTTCTTTCTGAAAATCACACTCACTCAACGTTAATACTGCATACATTCTGAATTTCAATGTAACTGTTCACCAAAAGCTCCACTAAGACAGCTTTTCACACTAAATGGAAGTGTTTGATGACATAATTTAATCCCCAGCAATGAAAGCAGGTCAAAGATGATGATATTGAATATCTAGGTCTGTACTGCAAATACAGCCTAACCAGAGGGCCAGCAAAACACATTAAGGGTCATAAATTCATTCCACTAAGCCTCAGCATGTGAACAACTGGAAGACTAATTTGGCCCACAAGTTTTAAGGACGGAAGGGTTTTACCTGATCTCTGTCCACACATACCATTAAAACTGGATGAAAGCAAACATTTCAGGAAGACAATCTGTTTTAAACCCTCCAAAGGCTTGGTAATCCCACCCCTTCTCTAGGTAAATGTTACGCTTTCTACATTATCTTCAGTGTTAGGAAGTTGTATTTTACCTCTAAATTTAATTAAGTCTTCTCCATGTTATGTGAGTTCCTGGAGACAGGAAGAAAAGACAGTTCAAGTCTCTCTAGTTCCTCAGCCATTACCCTGCGTAAGGATTTGCTGCTACTGCTACAAGGATATTGGGAATTCAGGAGATGTTTGCTTGCAAAGAGATAGATGCTGTGGTTTCCCAAGAAAAAACATAAGAGTATATGTGGATAGAGTTGGGGGAATCTCAAAGCTGAACCTGGTCTCCCACAGCTACACCACTCTAATCGTGCTTTATCTTCAAAACACTGATACCTGCTCACGAGGAAGCACCAAAGCATGCAAGTCAAATTTGCTCTCCAGTCTCTTTTCACAGAGATGGTTCTGCCTAGACTTACACTTTACATTTCTTTTGTTCTCTGAACTCTACCAAAATTTCCTGCACTACTGAAGAAACACAGCCAAAACAATGGATATCCTTTCTAACTTCAGCCAGGTGCAGAGTCCATACCAAATCCCTGCACATTGATAGTGTTTGCCTTTCCCCACTCCCACTGATCTATTACTCATGACCTTGTTATTCATGCTCTTTTTTCCAGCACTCCTTTCCCGAAGTCACATCTTGCTTTGTGGGCTTTCAAACATTGTACATTAAATTTGGTTTCATTAAAGCCTGTATTGTTCAGATCCCTGTACAGGACAATCAGAACATTCTGTAGCAGAAGAGACAGAAGACCTTCTGTCCTGTCTCACCTTATGGCGTTTCTTAAACAAGAAAAAGCTTTGCATTTTCTGAGACATTTTTATATTCACCAGATCTCTGAACTGAGGCAGGCTCACACTGACTGATGCAGTGGAAGAGAGGGAGGAAGAAAGAATGAACCCTGCTAATAACAGTCTTATCATTGCTTCTCTTCCAAGAATAGCTGAATTTTTAAAACAACCAGACACTCATCTTTACACCATCTCAGGTAAACCCTGCTGATCCAATATAACTACAGCTCTGAAACCAATAATCCCATCAACTCATCATTGGATGAGGATGAGACATTGCCTGTTTCTTTGAATAGGCTTCCTCCCTCCCCACAAAACCAGGCTGACTGTTAGCAATCTTCAGCTTCTAGCTGTGCGATCAAGTACTGAATTTACCTTTCACTTACTCTGTAGAACTGACAGAAAACCAAGCAACCTGTAATCTCTCCAATGGGATTCCTAATACACTGGAATCGTGCACTGAGTCTTCCAGAGGTTTGGAATTAGCCAAATATGCCACAGAAACAAGGATAATCAAAATTCCTGCTGAAAGTAAATTTCAAGTCTAACACTGGAAGCAACAACCTCATCAATTCCAGAAGGGAATGACACAAACACAAAGGAATTAACACTGCACATTATTGATAAACTGTTTTCCTTCAGTGTTTTTAACCTCCACTGTTCAATGGCTGATGCAGTCAAGTCTAGTTTTGTTTGGATATCTCATACCTGATGAAACTGTTTCTCCCAGTGTTGTCTTGCAGCGCTTACAAATTACTCTGGTATTTTCTTTTGACTTCTGTAGGATGAAAAAAAAAATTTAGATGTTACTCAGATATTCTGAAAAAGGAATGCATAGCTGTACCATAATTTACAGAGCAGTCAGGAAACTTGTTACTTTTTTCTGTCCTCTTTATGTTTACATGCACACATTTGCCTTCACTACTTCAGCTTTCTACACTTGCTTGCAAATTTCATACTAATTTTAAAATCTGGCAATATATCCACACAGCACAATGTAATGGCGGTAATGGCTAACAGGAGAATCTTGTAATATTGAATGCCTGGATGATAAAATAATAAGCTAAATTTGATTGTGCTAAGGGCAAAATAATGCATCAGAAATTAAGTACTCCATAACATATACGTAAAATAGTATGCTGCAATGTGACTACCATTACTCAGTAACAAGTTTTAGTAACAGTTCACCGTGGACAGTTTTATAGGAGTTGAATACCAGTACAATGTTCAGGAGAGAGCAGAAAATGTCTGCAGATTATTTTGAGTTACTAGGAAACAGCTGAAATACACAACAGAGCACGATATTCCAGAAAGGTGCAGTGGATTCTGTTCTTGAACAATCCTTCTCCCTCTATTCAAATAAATACAGAAAAGGTATTGACAAAGAATAACTGTCAGAAGCACAAAGCAGTTTCCATATGTAGCATGAAAATACATGTAACAGGAGAACATATGGAAGACAGAAAACTGAGGGCTATCATCCAGATACCTAAAATCACAAATGTTTAGGAAAAGCGAAACAGAAAAATACAAACATATGCCCTTATAGCTCATGCTATGAAATTCCAACCCTGTATCAAAAAACCAGGAAGGCATTTGTCACACAATGCATAATATAGGTTGGTACTCACTATAGGAAAGCATTTTTCATATTAAAAGTATAAACAAGTTCAAAAAGTCTTCATAAATTCAGAGGAAGCAATGTCATCAAGGGTCTATTAAAAACAAAAGATGCAGATAATACCTAGTTCAAGGAGTCTCTACACTCTAAATAAACATCACTGAATATTTGCCTTAGCTTTATGCATCTATTACTGCCCTTTGAAAAAGATCTTACTTCTAGATGAAATTTACACTCTTAGACTCCTACTAATTACAGTGTTAATATTTAAATTCAATACATCAAAAAAGCAAGCACAATTCTCACTTTAATCCAAAATCTAAACTTCAGAACTGGTTCTGTATGGGCTTATTAACCTGGGTGTAGCAACTAGAGCTCTGATCTGAAAGCAGTACATATATATATAACCTTAATGATGGTCAAAAACAGAGAATCAAACTAAGCCTGAGAGCTGACTATGTTGGAAGTACAGTCGCCTTGTTATGGAGATCAGGAAAATAATCTGATTCACATATATGCAGTTATCCCCTTTCCCAATTCCTACCTTGCTACTCCTCTCAAACATATGCAGTGAAATTACTTGCTAGTGTGAATAGCAAGGATAAACAGACAAGGTTTTGTGTATGCCAGTGTTTCAGACTGGTACAAATACCACATGGTACAAGTACACAGTACACACTACTTCCTTGAAAGCTAAAACTTGAGAATTTTTTTTTCTGACTATAGTTATAGGTGGTGACTGAGAACTGTGCCTAAAAAACACCACTAACTCGTTGTATCATGCTTCAGTGGAAAAAGGGATAGTTTTAGCTCAACTAATTAAAACAATTTATCTGTTTGACAACTTGCAGCTGCTGGCAATCTGCAGATGCAGGTGGATCACAAGCCTAATAGTTTCTGTTCCTATTCCTAAGGATCCCTGATATGGTGTCAGGAAAAATATTTTCCCCAAGAGATACTATTAAGATGCTGCAAGACCATGTGACATTTAAGAACTATGTTACACTGGAAGACTAATAGATGTGAAAAATATGTTTGCAATGGACGGATGCTGTCTTGGTCCCACTGGAGTCTGGAAAAGATTGTTTAAGCATCTCTAGTACATTCCTGCTACTATTTTGGTCATAGGCAAACACTTCCCAAAGAACTGCAATGCAATTTAAAAGGAACTTTCATACTGGGGCAGACTGCAACAATATTCTCTAAAATGAGAACATTTATGCCAATAGCAATCTGTCTTGCCTGTAACTTTCTATTACTCATATTATGGAGGAATTTTCTGCTTCAGTATGAGGGGTTTTTTTCCTTATTAGTCTAGCTTCTGCTGGATCTAACAGTTGTGCTCATTTGCTTGGCAACTGAGTGATGCTGGAAATAAGCAAACACAGAAATGAGAATTCATTGCAAGTGTGAAAAAAGGATTGGACACAAGGAACAAATTCTCAACTTCATTGCAAGTATAAGGAAGCAAACATGAAAACTCATCACACTAAATTACTATTGTATGCCTCTGACATAAAACAGCCTCCTCCCTCATTCAAAAGTTCTGCTGTTATCCTGGTTCAACCCCCATCTCCACAAAATCATTGTTCCACATCCTTTTATTATGTTTCTGCCTCCAAATCAATCCTTTACTCAAAAACATTCTCTTTGAACAAGAAGTGTGCAATATGAACTCCATGCGCCCTGCCTCTCCCCATATTTATTCCTGGTGTTCCAAGATCTCTTTTAAGACTACTGGAATGCGAGAATTCATTTTGGCAACCTCTGGCAGAGAGCATTGTCCTCTTGAAAATTTGGTATAATCTACTCCACCTCCTTCTTAAGGAAACTTAGAAGAAATAACTCCATTGTCACAGAGTTAAGACAAATTCATCTGCCTCTGCCATGCTGATACCCTTACAGTGCATCAGTCCTTATTTTCCTCTGTGCACAACCTGTTTTTCAAAGAACAATGGAACAAGAAACCAAAGGGACCAAGCCGCAAGCCTTGCGGATAGGAACAACAGGACAGAACTACTCCCCATGCAGAGGGGTTGCTTGGAGCACCGCACCAGCAGCCACTGCACTGTGAGAATCCTGGTGACTCTTCCTGGGGATAATACATATCACTATAAGCAGCAGGTAGAAGTTAGGGAGTCTGGCTCTCAAGAGATTAAACGTTTCATGCTGGAAATCTCTGCAGAATAAGCCATCAATTTCTACAGACACAAACCGCCAAGGCCGCAACGTAGACTGCTGTCATCATATTACAAAAGTTCCATATTGTTGTATCCTTATTTGTGAAAGTTTCATACCTTCTTGGTGTCTTCTCATGGGCAGCTCCTCAGAGCACTGACTCTCTCTTCCTCACCAAGTAGCCAACTGACTCAAGTTCCCTTCTCAACCAGCCAACCCACTCTTTTATAGCACTCTTCTCATTGGTCTCAGCTGTGGCCTGTTACAGTCAGGCCTGTTCCTAATCTTTGGTAACTGGCCCAGCTGCAACTCCTTAGGGAGGAGATTACTCTCTGAACTATCTTTATTTTCTTATATTCTAGCCCCCACAGTAGACAGTTTAATATTTTGTACTGGGAGAATATACAGCATGTGTAGGCTCAACCTTTTTCAGTATAAATATAGACAAGCAGCAGATTAACAGAAAAGGCTTTATGGAAATGTAGGTTTTGGTGAACTGAGTTCCTGGATGTTCTTCTGGCAGAAAAAAAGATCATTGCTTGAACTTTCATATGAGTGCTAGATGTCTGAAGAGAGACTGAACTGAAGACTGTCTTTCTTCATGGGTTTTATCCCACCACTGAAACATAAGCACCAACAAACGTTGATGGACAACAACAAATTTTGATGTTTCTTAGCCAAATGACAGCCTTCTTCCTGTAGACCTGCTTGATGAATTTATCTTAACCTGGAACACCTCCAAACGTCAACATGAAGAGCTATAATATGGGATGGCAGGCTCCTTTCACTGGACAGAGCAGTCAAATAAACTCGATTTCCTTACTATGCTTTAAGAACCTAAGTCAGCCACATCTAAACACAAAGCACACATTCTGACATTTCCAAGTTTTTCTAAAACTTAAAAAAAAAGAGAGAAAAAAAATCACACTCCTCTTTAATCATATTCATGATTATGCCTCAAGTCACAGTGCAAGAAAAACATTTGTTACTTCAATTTCCACCTCATTCTTTGCTCCACTACCCTTTAACAAACACCTAACCCATCACAGTTGTTATCTTACTGAATTCTGAAGTCCTTCATTCATGATAATTTTGGGGGAAAATATCTGGGTTTAGAACTACATAATTAAGTACCTTCTGTTTCTAGTACTAAGTTCTACTTGGATACTGAGGTCAGTATCAAGACTGTGGTGTGAGCTTTAGAAAATGTAAAATATAGCCTGGAATATTTTCTGGCTTCTGCACAGCTGAATGTCAAGAACTCCCTATGACCTTCAAAACTGCTCTGTAATACATAGAAAATAAATAAACTAGCTTAAAAAAGTACTTTACAATGAAAAAGCCCAAATAATTTCACCTAAGAACTATTTGAAGAGAATACTTTACCAAGTTGGAGCCACTCTGCAAAACATGGTGTCCAGCCTCTGAGCAGCACACAGGAGATTCAGGCACATGTGATTCACTTCTTAAATTCAACAGAAAAAAAGTGTCTCCAACAAAACAGTCACCATGCTGAGGGTGCAAAGTGCTTCTGGCAAAGGGGTCGGGGTGACAACACCACTCTTCAACTAAATCACTCCAGTTTTCACTCGGTAGAGGAAGAACTCTGAGAAATTTCCTTAGAGGGAAGAAAAGACAAATATTTCAGTTTTGTTATAATTCATTTCTAAGACACTTAATGATAGCTTAGGTTTCCTAAAAATAGTGGGGGTAGTATGGCATTTTCTCAAAAGGAAGTGCTTGACACTCCTTCCAGCCAAAGGCACTTTGGGTGAATTCTGAGAAAGCAATGGCTGAGTTTCCTGCCAAATCTGTGATGAAGCATTTCCCAAGGGTGAATCTCCAATGATTTTAAGGCAGAATTTGACACAGCTCTCTCTTGAATTACGTGGCAAAAGTAAAACAGTTCCACACAGTCATGAAAAATGACAAAGAGCATTTGCAATAACATTTATTATTACTTCTTGTACTTCCTCCCTTGCAGCAAATGTTGATATAAAACCAATAGAAACAGACTCATGCCACAGCAAGATTCAGATACCAGGCTTGAAAAAGTTAAAACCTGAAAAAAATACCACAGTACATCTTCATTTTAAAAATCCAAACAAACAAAACAACAAACAAAGGATAATTCAATCTTAATTTAGATTCAGATACTCAGCTCAAACTTTCAGAAGTCATACAAAAAAGGCAAATCCCTTTCTCCTGGGTAGCTGTATGGACCAAGGATACTGTTTCAGGAAAAACTACTCTGTTTTCATTATTAGTTATACTGGGTTTGAATTTTCTGCTCTCTGCCTAGTTTCCTTGAATGGTTACCCTATTTCTTCAGCTGTCACCTGAAATCTTCACCAGAGTTTCTTGATTCTACTCCTTACTTAAAACTTGCAAATACAACTTTGCTTATGGTGCTACTTTGCAAATAAAAACACAGCTGCTAAGCCAACAGTTAGGCATTCTCCCTTTCCTGCAGTTCCCAGACCAATATTTTCTGAAGATGTCATTTCTTCCCACTGTAGTTTTTTGGCCCTTTTAAATTGTTCGGTGGGTGAAAGAAAAATGTTTTATAAAAAAAAGCCCTTTTTATCTAGATAGACAATACATTTTAAACTCTGCTTGCTCCACCTGCAGATGAAAGTTGGAATAACTGATCCTCTGATGCAGCTTTACCAAAACTAAGTAAGATCACCACCCAGGCACTACCCATGTGTGTCTTCATTTTCTTTGGTCTTATATATTGTTTGAGATACTACTCAATTCTGACAAAGTGACAATTCAGTTCTGATGTTGGTCTCATAACTGATTCTTCATCAGCCTTTACAATTAGTTCCAGTGCCTGGACTCACATTGAAAAAAAAGTATTCTTGTATTGTTTTTTACACAAAAGTAACAAAAAGCTTAGCAATGTTCTTACAAGGGAAAAAAAAAGACAGACATTACCTTAAGCTGCAGACTCATGCTGTCGTGTTTCATTAAATCAACCTTTCTTTACTCTCACAGTCTACAGCATAAAGACTTCCACTTCTTTTCCAACAAAAGCAGTTTTTCCAACCACTAGGAATTTCCTAAACAAACTCCTCCTAACTCTGAGCTATACAGAAAATATTTCCACTGTATTTTAGGCTTTTGCCACTCATGAGTGGGAAGCCATATCCTGGGTCACTAGAACTGGAAAAATGTAACACTAATAAAAATGGAGCATCCCTAGAAAAACAAACAAACAAAACCAACTTGAGGCTACTAAATAACATGATAAAACCTAGAAAACAGAGTGACTTATCTCTCCAAACTTGCTCATAATAACTGAGTTTGTACTTGCAAATAGCCACCTAGGCTGCCTTCACAGTCGGAGAGCAACAAACAATTCTTAGATTGGTATCTTTAGGAGTCGCTTTCTCCTGCAAGTGTCTCATCTAGCCAGGCTAAATCTCCTGCTGTAGACAGTTCCCAGATTCCCAGATTCCAGCCTGGGAAAAGAAGGTAATTAACTTATTTTTTAAAAGTTTGAAGTTTAGCACTAGTCTATAAGAGCCCTGCCATAAGGATATAACTCTTAAATGATCTTCCAGGCTAAGGTAAGTATTTGACCATAGAGACCCCTGTAAAACTGGATTAAGAAAAGTAATCCCAAATGTCATTATTAACTAATATCCAGTAATACCATTCTGTCTACTGAAAATACTGAAAACTGGAAGTAAAATGCACTTTAGACTTTTAAACATATGATAACTATTCAGTTCTATCAGAGAAAAACAACTGGATTTCTCTAACTGCAGTTTCCCTTATTTACCTGTTAAAAAAATCTTGGGACAGCCCAGCTTGTCAGTTAAATGTCAGGCTTAACACTACTTATGTAGGGAAAGTGCAATTAGATTTCCCCTGCCATGAGTTTTTCCATGGAATATTTGTGCAGTACCAATTATTATTTGCTACATTTAGTCTCTCCTGTTCAGCTGATAAGGGGAGTGATAGAGCAGCCTTTAAGAATGTCTTCATGACAGAAATAAAGTCTTAAAGACTTATTTTATATATGAGGTACGCTCAGCCAAACTGAAAGGAGAGAAATAATAAAGAAAGTATACATATTTTTTTGCAGCTCTTGCATGATGAAAGAAAAAAAAAATGTAATAATTTTCTCTAATGTGTGTAATGTGAAGGCAATGGAAAAGAATGAAATACCCTAACCCTAACCTCTGAAGAGCTATCAGATTTATGGAAGGAAACAGACTGAGGCAGAGGATTTCAGAAAATGTAAATTTTTGTTAAACTTACATTTGACCATTCCTAGCACATTTCTTAATCTAACTTTTAAAAGGAAGACTTCCTATGAAGTCATTAACAGCAAAAAAATAAGCTTTAGAATAGGTTTGGGGTGGTTTGTTGGTTTGGTTTTTTCCTTTCATTTTAACCTAGATGTCTCTTGCTTCGACTGAAGATTACTGGCAATTTCTTTGCAGCAACTTCCTAAATATTGGAAAAATCTTATGTCTTCTCCACAACCTTATCTACACTAAAGCCCATTTATTTCAATTTCTTCTTAAAGGTATGATTTTCTAGATCTCAAGTGTTTCTTATTACAGACCCTAGCCTAGTAATTCAGACTTTAATATGCTCTCTTTCACACCATTCTGCAATTTCCCTTCAACCCTTCCACCTCTGCTGTCACTGTCATACTTAATTCTTCCTGGAGAGAGGAACACGTGAATTCTGTAGCTAGAAGTTATGACTATGCTACTCTATCTTCCTTTTGGAAATGCTGGAACAGAATGTGTTGGATACACTTGCAGCTCCACTTTTCTACTTATGTCTTAGGTTTTTTTAGTGGCAACATTCAAGGGGCTCATAGGCTTCCTGCAAGGAGAAATGCCAAGTGAAAAGGCATGGACATGCATTCTTTTTCCTTTCTCAAAAATTCTGCTTGTGTCACATTACAGGAAGTAGAACCAAAAGATTTAAACTACATGCATATGAATTTGACGTGCTGAAATTCAGGAAAATTCCCACTCAGAAATGCAAATATAAACATGCAACATGTTTTGAAAGTAAATGTTACTGACTAGAAATTAGAAGTTCCACTACTTTACAAATGTATCAAAATAAGAGTTACTCCTAGACTTTCTGATGAGACTTTTCAGAAGAGAAAGTTAAGAAATCCTCATTCGGTTACATTCAGCTAGCCATAAATCCATACTTATGACAAGAAAGTAACAGAAATTTAGAGAATGAGACATATTTCTATTACTGTTTTGAGTATTAGGAGCCACACAGATCATAAAAGGCTGTAAGTGCACCTCTATAAAATTCTTATATATTCAGCTGAAGCTGTCAAAATTGCTCATCAGAAGAGCAATGCAGCACCTTTTTATTAAAATTCTCACTCACTCTGCAGACTTTTTAAGGCACAGAGATAAGGACGAGTCACACAGCTAAGACACAGCTCCTGTTTCCCAAATTTAGCATCCCTGAACTATGTGCAGGCAGGTTTTGCTTAAAAGATAAAAGGAAGCTGTGGTCAATATCCCCATTCTGAGCAGCCACTTTATAATTACAGCATGATGACTGAAGGAAATTTATAAGAGACTGAAAAGAACTGAAAAGGATACCTGAAATACAGAGGAAGAAAGAAATCAAGGAGCAAATGAATAAACAGCTAAAAACTGCTTCAGGTAATTTTGCTTTTTGTCATCAGCAGTGCTTCAAATGTGTTCTTGTCTATCAGTTTTAAAATAAATACCTTTTGGCTGTCTCAAAGTACACAAAATAACATGAATACCAATCACTATGGCATTTATTGCTATAAATACAAGACACTGCAGTACTCACCGGTCGTTCACTACGATGTCACCACAGGACTGACAGTGAAAGATGTAGTTATTGTTGGGTTTCAGGCTTTCTCTCAAAGCAAAAACCACATCTATAGATGGAAGGAAATATATTAATCTTCAAAATAGTGTAAAATTTTCAGTCACTTGTACAAAAAAATCTTGCCAAATACCTCAAACCAAGAAGGATAAATCTAACAGACAGAGAAAAAGGCTGACATTTTAAACACAACCTTAGTTTTTTTAAAAGCAAGCATTTAGATTCAGGAAAAACTTGTAATCTCCACCTCATGCCCCATTATTACTAAGTAGGAACTGTATATATGAATAATTATTTTCAAGGTGGAAATCCTCTTCAGAAGGGGAGCTGATATATTGATATAATTGCAGAGATTATAGAAATCAAAATTCAATGCCACTCTTTTGTAAAGATATTTCTGATAATCAGTGTATCTGCAATATGAGGGGACACACCAATATGTAACACAAATAGTCAGGATGAGGAGCAGGGTCAGACACTAGTTTCACATTTTCAGGCAGGTAAGAAACCAACCACTGTGGAACTGTTTCAGGAAAAGATAGTGAGCAACGGCCTCTGCAGGCCAGGAAAGCAAAAATGGTCTCACAAAAGGCAGCTCAAACAACTTCTCCAAAGTAAAAAAAAAAGTTTATAAAAGTCTCCCCAAATTATCTGACAACATTAATTGGAAGAAAAGTAGAACTGTAAGCCTACGCATGAATATGCTTTGCATCAGCCACTTTCTCATACTTAAGAATCAAAGTTTACTCTCAGCACTGACAATCAATATTTGAAATTTAAGACTCAACCACAAGAGCAAAGTACTATTAAATGTTCCAGAATTTCAACTATCTTGCATAATAATATAAAATATCAAAGGTTAACTAAGACTGTCCAATATACATGTTGATTACCACCTGGTTCACATACTTATTTTTCACTAGCATGACTTTCCAAGGTTGATTTTTAAAAGTTCATCACTGGTCTTTTGAAACATGTCTCTTTAATAGGACACATTAAATAATTTTAGTATAACTGAGCTGTCAAAGCACATGCATAATTACAGATTAATGTACAGATGCCATCTCAGCATGCCAACAGAGTATTCCAATGTGTTTTTGGTGCTGCATTACTGTATAATACATATTTTATCACCCTTTTCTGCTTTAAAAACTCAGAATGGCAATTTCGTGTTATTTAATAGGTCTTTCTGTGACACATCATATGAAATGAATCTAAACATATTGAGCTTGGATGCCAAGATGAAAGAAAGCAATAGCTGTACTACCACGCCTTCTATTTATTGCAAACACATCCTAGACCTGAATTAGCACCATGGAAGTAAAGGAGGTAACTTTGCACATGTTACCTGTGACATTAACCTCTGAAACCCCACCTGTGAGAATGAGTCCCAACACAAACCCTTTACGATTAAGTGGTCAGGGATGGACAAGCATAATCGTTGCCTGGATGAATGAGATTACTCCATTACTGACAGGATGGGGAGTAATGGGTACAAATGGAAAGAAAGGAAGTTTAAGTGAGATATTAGGAAGAAATTCTTTACAGTGAGAGTGGTGAGGCACTGGCACAGGCTGCCCAGAGGGGCTGAGGGTGCCCCAGCCCTGGCAGTGTTCAAAGCCTGGAGCAACCTGCTCTAGTGGGACACATCCCTGCCAATGGCAGCGGGCACTTGCGACTAGATGATCTTTAAAGTCCGTTCCAACCCCTTGGCATTTTATGATTCTATGATTTTCAGCGACCAAACGCAGAATAGGAGAGAAAGAAAATCACTTTGAAGTACTATGGGGAAGCACGGGTGGGGGGAACTGTGAGCAGATCCCAAACACACGGCTTTTCCCTTTCATTACGTCATTTTTGCACTTTCAGTTTCTAAACTGACAATCCCAGAAGGCGTTTGCTCTACAGAATCCACACTTCACAACCTCTCTCAGTAAAACCGGCCACGTCCCGGGTCACCCTCCCGCGTTTGCCAGCTCCTGCCCTGTCCCGCCCCGCCCTCACCGGCGGCGGGCGGCGGGCGGCGCAGGCGCACGCGCAGGTGCAGCCCGTCCCCGCGCAGGCGCCGGAGCCCGCGGCACGAGGACGGCGCCAGGCTGACCCCTGCCGGCAGCGCCGCCGCATCGCAGCTCCCGCCGCTCCTCACTTCCAGGGAATCCGCACACACCGACACCTCCACCGGCGCGCTGGGGAGCTCCGCCGCCGCGCTGCGGAGGAAAAGCAACGGGTATGCCTCGGGAAGGAGCTGTCGGGGTGCGCTGCTGCTTTACACAGGCCGGCCCGCAGCTCCCCCGCAGCCGCAGTCGCGCCCCGAGATCCATGCGGTGAACGAGGAGCAGCCGAGAGAAACAATCCACCGTTCTCAGGAAAAATTTATTTGCACAGTAGTGCCGAACCGAACAAGCAGGGGGAGGCGTCCGCACACAACCCGGTCCCCGCGCTGAAGGCTAAGGACGCCGAAAGCCAGACCCGCCGCGCCCCCCGGCTGCCCCGCACGGCCCGAGCGGCGGCGGGCGGCAGCGCCCCCGCACTACCGGATAACCAGCAGCGCGCTCTGCGTGGCCCGCCTGATCTCCATCAGGAACGCTCCCGCCATGCCGGCACCGCGCAGGAAGCGGCCGCTGTCCCGCCGGCGCAGGCGCGGCGCCGCCGCCCGCCCGTCACAGCGCCGCCTGCGTGGAACCGTGGAGTCCCCAAGCCGCATCACCCGGCGCTGCATTCGGGCGCCTCCTGAACGCTGCCAGGGATGGCGACTCCACCACCGCCCTGGCAAATCTATTACAGTCCTTGACCGCCCTAGCGGTGGAAAATATTTTTCTCATGTCTAATCTGAACGTCTCCTGTCTCAGTTTAGGGGCATTCCCGCTAGTCCTGTCCCAGTAGGCAAGGCAGAAGAGACCGGCTCCCAAAGCTCCTTTCAGACAGCTGTAGAGAGCAGTGAGGTCCCCCCGACCCTCCTCGAGACAAAACAACCCCAGCTCCTCAGCGGTTCCTTGTAAAACAAGTTTTCTAGAGCCTTGTTTCCCTTCTCTGGACGCGCTCCAGGACATCAATATTCTTTTTAAACTGAGGGGCCCAGAAACTGATCACAGCACTGGAGGAGCGGCCTCACCTCTGCGAAGCGCAGAGGGACGATCACTGCCCTGCTCCTGCTGGCCACACTATTCCTGATACAGGCCAAGATGCCACTGGCGTTCTTTGCCACCTGGGCACGCCGTATCCTTCTCCGCTGAGCAACTCCCAGGTCACTCCTCCCCAAGCCCGTAGCACCGCACGGCGTTGCTGCGATCCAAGGGCAGGATCCAGCAGCTCGGCCCGAAGGTGCCCTGGGAGGCAGTGGCGGGAGGGTGTCCCGGGGTCCGCTTCGCCCGCCGGCTTGGCCGCTGCTGGCCGTAGAGTCAGGCCCGGGGCACAGGAATGAGTCCCATGGGGTCCCGAGCCCCAAGGTCCAGGTCTGCCCAGCCGGCTGGTCTCACGCGGTTCACAGGAATGAGTCCCATGGGGTCCCGAGCCCCAAGGTCCAGGTCTGCCGGGGTCTTCTTATGCCCAGTCTCTTCTGTGTCAACATCGGGCTGTCATCTCCTGCTTTCCTGTTTTCCGCCGGGAGGAGCCTGCGTTTGTTCCTATGCCCAGTCTCTTCTGTGTCAACATCGGGCTGTCATCTCCTGCTTTCCTGCTTTCCTGTTTTTCGCCGGGAGGAGCCTGCGTCTGTTCTATGGGGCACCTCCCCACAGGAGCTGTGGGGTCTGCCTGGGGGTGTGCGCTCCGGATTCGTGGCCAAACAGGGCTGATAATAAACTGCTGGTTTAGCTGTTGCTGAACAGTGTTTGCACACTGTTAAGGCCTCCTCAGTGCCTCACTCCATACCACCCAGCAAGTAGGCTGGAGGTGGGGAAGAGCCTGGGGCAGGGGGAGAGATCATACAGCTGACTTTAATCGACCAAAGTGATGTTCCATGGCATATAACATCACTCGTGGCAGTAAAAACTCAGGGCATAGTCTTTCCAAAGTGGCCATTGCTCAGATACTGAAGACTGAACATCAGCAGTCTTCTTGTGGAAGGTGGTGAGTGATTGTCTGTATGTTTGGGGGGATTTTTTGTTCCTATTTCCCTCATCCACTAAAACATCATTGTCTTAACATTGTGTTAACAATGGTTAACATTGTCTTAACCCACAGTTTTCATGCTTTTGCTCTTCTGGTTCTATCCCTGAGCTAGCAGCTGGCTGGGGTCACCCCATCATGACCACAAAGTTCAGTCTGCACAGAAGCCTCTGCTGAGACAGGGGCAGGATCGCCAGCACTGGGGACTGTGTCCTGAGGCACCACTACTCACCTCCTGCCTTGTGAAAAAAACCCTTTCCACCCTTTCTTGCAGCTTTACAAGTCTTTCTGAATTTCTCCCAATCCATGTGCACCCAGCTCTTGAATGCTGTCACATTGTACTCATAGCAAACAGGCTCTCAACGCAGGCAGCTGCTGCTCATGGGTGAGGTTTTCTACTGCCTCTCATGAGATCTTTTATCAAGAGACTGTAAGTCCATCCTGATACGCCTGTGTGACTTTCCCTTACCTTATGAACACTGTCACCACTGCACACTTCGTCCAGGATGCTGTGTAAGAAGTTGATGTTCAGTATTCAACGACACCAAGGAAAGAAACTTTCACTTTGAGAAAAAAGGAGTATTTCTGCAATGTTAGAAGTGTTTACTTTTTAAGAAGTCACAAGACCCTCTGTGGCTGCAGAGAGTTATTTGAAAACATGATCTGCAAAGCTTCAAAAAAATAGCAAAATTTGCACAGCTTACTTTTATAGCAATATATTATCAAAGACAGGATTATAGTGAAATAATCTTAGTCCTTGGAGTTATCAAAACCAAGTAGGAGAATCCCAAAGAAGAAAACAGTGTAGGGTTAGATTTTGTGGGGAAAAAAAATACAGCAGGCAATAGACAGTTTCAATGGAGTTATTTTGTTGTTTTTTACAAAGCATGAATTTATTGAAGTATTCTAAGATGGGATTGTACTGTCTACATGCTGTTCTGAGTGTGGTGGTGTAGGATTTTGTTGTTGTTTGTTTCCATTTTTTTTAAGGAAGAAAAATAATTAGTCCACATGGTGGATTTCATTTCCAATTACTTCACAAACAAATTTATATTGTGAACTAAATTGTTGTGGACAAGTAGGTCATACGTCAAACATAAACCCCATGTAATTATAGGAGAATTGACTCCTAGTATTAGGGCCTTTGATGTTACAAAGGCTTACCCAAAGCTACAAAGTTATAAATAATCAAGTATTCACAGGGCGTGAGCCTCACTTATTCAAAATTATCTATTACAGGTTTCTCACCATTTCTGCTGTGAAATAATTACAGAGAAAGGAAGGTAAATTTCCTACAGAGCAAGTGCACCTAACATCAGTGCTACACCCAGCCCAGTATTTTGACTCCAACATCACTAAAACAAGGTACTAATAAGGAAAAGCTCCATAGTGTGGTTGTTTCCAGGTACTTCCCCTGTGGGTAGATCCCTACCTAATTCCTTCAGTGTCCACTTATGGATGTGTTTGTCGTCAATATGAATAATCTATCCTTCAACCTACAGCTAGTGTCCAAGTCCCCAGCCTCTGGTGCCAAAATGTTCTAGAAGTTTTCTGATTTGCAGAAAAGAATTTTCTGTGCCTCCTCATTCTCATACTGTGGGGTTTGGTTAACAACAACTTTGTTGCCTTTCATAATTTTGTAGAATTTGATCAATCCTGTCCCCTGTCTTCTCTCTCTGCATCGAACAGTCACAGTCATTACTGCTTTTGCTGTAATATAGCAGTGACATCTCTCCACGGTGCCTTTCCCAACTTCTCTACATTCCTCTTGAGCTGTGAAGACAAGAATTGATGCCGTAATCAATCTGAGGCTGCACCAGCCTTTTACACAGCAGCCAAACAACTACCTCTGTCTTGTTCTCAATATTCTTCCCAACGACATACAATGTTTTTTTGATTGCCACTGCACATATAGTCGATGAGGCAATTTGAAAGAAGTGTTTTGGAGCTCTGAGCTGTAACTGCCACTACTAAATTCAGCACAAGGGAAGCTTAGAAATCCAACCGCTCTGCAATGCAGTAGCATGTGAAAGCACATGGTCAGTTATGGACAGTCACCTCCCCTCTGTGAAGTTCACCACTCTTAAATAGCTCCACAACAAGGGAAGCTTAGAAATCCAACCGCTCTGCAATGCAGTAGCATGTGAAAGCACATGGTCAGTTATGGACAGTCACCTCCCAGCTCCACAAGCATGACCAACCTAGTTAACAATTACTTCTCAAAGGCATTTATAAGTATCTTCAAAGAAAAAAAATTAAGTGTGCCATTTTAATGAAAATACATGACATGTAGAGTAATACTTGATGCTTCAGAAAACCAGTGGAAATTGTCAGCTTTCCAGAAAGTAACTATTTTTCATGTACTGATTCCTGGTATAGTTGAATGAGAAAAGGAATTGCATTTACTCTTTATTATTATCCCAAGTCTGGAGAATAAAATTAGACTTCATTAAATATTGGCTGGCAACATAAGTCACTGAGTAGAAGACTTATTATGAGATTTTCCCCTGGCAATATTTTAGAAATACTTGTCCTCAGACAAAGCCTAAAATATTAATCATGTAAGCTGAACACACTTTTTTTTTTTTTCAGTTACTCAAGTAATTTATAACCATAAGCTCTGTTTGCTATTATGAAGCTTGCTTAAATTTGAGAACTGTAATGATGACTTAAAACTAAATAATTACAGTCTAAGAGCTTTATAGTACCCTTTATACTGGGGAACTGGCCAGTTGAAAAATCACTCCTGCAATGCAGTAAAAAAAAGTCCTTTGAATACCATCCGTGTGGGCACCCGTACACTTCTATGTGTAGTAAGGACCCAAGTGTACTAATCACAAGAAATTTTAGAAAATTCCCAATACAGCTACTGCTAACATAAAGGTAATATCACATCATGGCATCAGAGACCAGTTTGGGTTGGAAGGTACCAGGTAGGGACTGGCCTTTTCTGCCAGGCAACCAGAGACAGGACAAGAGGACATAGTCATAAGGTGTGCCAGGGGAGGTTCAGGTTGGACAATGAGAGGCAATTCTTCACAGAAAGGATGGCTAGACATTGCAATGGGTGTCACATTCCAATGGAGTCGCATTTCCTGGAGGTGTTTAAAGAAAGGCTGGACATTACACCTAGTTCCGTGGTGTGGTTAACATGGTAGCGTTTGATCATGGACACGATGATCTCGGAGATCTTATCAACCTCATTGATGCTGTGATCTTAGAGATCCTTCCAAGGCCCGCTGCCGTGAGCAGGGACACCTTCTACTACAGCAGATTGCTCAGAGCCCCATCCAATCTGGCCTCGAACACTTCCAGGGAGGGGGCATGCACAGCTTCACTGGGCAACCTGCTGCAGCATAATTTAATAAAGAACCGCCCACCTTCCATTGTTACCTGCGCTCTATTCGGTAAGCTCGGTAAACACCGGCCCGGATAAACAAACCCGCGCTCACAGCGAGCCCGCTGCGCGCCTGCGCACGCGTCCCGCCAGGGGGCGCAGCGCGGCTGGGCGGGGCGCGGCGGGCGCGGCGCGGGGCACGCCGGGAGCTGTCAGGGCGGCGCGGGGGTGCCGGTGGCGGTCGGGCTCTTCCGTGTCGGGTCGCTCAGGTAACGCCGCTCGCTCCCTCCGCTCCTTCCCTGGGATCTT